CACCGATTTGGGTGCACAGGTGAGGCGGGGTCGCCAGAAAGCGTTTAAACAGCGGCTGAATATTTAAGAATTGACTGGCTCACGTTATAGCCAATTCCTAAATCTTCAGCCGCCGTCTGAACGCTCATCGGCAACCCCGCCTCACCTGTGCACCCAAATCGGTGCAAGCTTCCGTATTGTTTCTAATCACAACCCTAGCAGCTCTAAAAAAGGTTGCAAGAGTGTGCTGAATTTCAAGTTGAATACTCACCGCCATGTATTTGGGCATCTGGATGGGTTCCGCCGTCTCAGGAGTGGTGCCGGATGAGGCAGGGGAAGGGATGGATTCGGATCCCAAATTCACCAATTCTTCTTGCCCTTCTTGAACCTCATCATCATTTTCCAAATTTTCTTTGAGCAACTTCACGGCTGGCTCCAGAAGTTTGGCTGCTTCCTCCACACCGTCTGAGAAGGATCGCTTCATCTGAAAGACTATGTTTTTAAGAATTGGGAATTGTGGAATAATCAAAGGAGAGTGGACAGTATGTCAAAAAAATGAAAATTGGAATTAGTATCCATCAAAAACATATTTCATTTCTGTACAACGAATTCCTGAGACGGGTAGGTCATATGCAAGAACAAACGTTTCTAAAAATTAACTCTGAAGTAGTTCATGACACTTTCACGTGATCGATCTGCAGTCAAATAGAGGTGGTATGAAAAAAACAACGTATATTGCAAAAAAAGTTTGACCTCGATTTTTGGAACCAACGAAAAAATGGTTCAGGAATGTCAGGAGGTACTGTAGGAGCAAAACATGTGACGAATGATCGGGGTTTCCCAAACCACAGTACCGGTCAATAAGCTATAGGTGATATTCGGCATTGTCAAGAGTCTGGTGCTCGGTTGTCAAGTTTTCAATCAGTTTGAAAATTTGGGAGGGTGCAGAAGACCTAGATTGAAAATTTTGCGCTTTTTGGGCTGGAAAAGTGAACAAGCAGGTGTTTTTCAAAAATCAGCAAATAGCTGTGAAACTAGAATTTTCAAAAAATTCTGTAGGTGCAAAGTTTTCAATCTGACTCTGTATTACAGCCTACCAAATTTTCAAAGTGATTGGAAACTTGACAGCTGAGCTCAAGACTCCTAAAAAGTGCCTAAACCAACTGAAAAATACGGTTTTGTGTATCTTATCGACCGGTACTGTATGTGGATGCAAAAAAAGGCCCTGGAAAAGTTTATGACACTGATATTCACGAATCGCAATTCAAAAAAATTGAAACAAAGACGCAGAGTGACATTGAAATCAACAACACACGCTCGAAGGTTCTAATGGCAATGAGAATATCGGTGAGATACTGTGAATCTCCCTGGGAGACCAACCCCATCCATTTCGACCCGAAGGACAATATGTGGACGTGTGTATGTGCGTGTATGAGTGTGCGCTCGGAGGGCGATGTGCGAGACGCGAACGTGTTTCGCGTGACGTGTGTTTCTGTTCAGTTGCCTGCGTTTCCCCTTTAGTTCAACTGCTTTCCATCTCGGTTCCCGTGTCGCACACACACTCTCTTTCTCTACTCTACTCTATTCAAAAAAGAACCAAGTTTTTATGAGGGTCGTCTCTCCTACCACCCTTTCGTCACCGACCCGTGTGGCCAACACCACCGCGCCGAGGAACACACGCTTCACTAACAGTGGGAGAGAAAGCACTCACGCAACAGGGTTGGAGGTCATTGTTCGCAGACGCAAAAAGAAGATAAGAAACTGATGTTTTGTATTAAAGAATGTGTGTCTGCATGAAACCAAAACGATATGTCTAAGAATGCTATCTAGCATACTATGCAAGAAAAGACTTACCGTAAAAATTCTATTAGAAGGCTACCCAAACCGCCTACTTTGAGCCCATATATCTCTGTTCCTGTGAAAGATATGAAAAAGTTTTCAACTGATAAACTGTTTTTCGTAATATCAAAAAACATTTTATCAGTTGATACATTTTTGATATCTCTTTCAGGAATCCAGATATATGGGTTCAAAGTTGACAGTTTAGATGGCCTTTTGTTTACGGTAGCTCAGAAGACTGAAAACAAAGTTATTTTTTGTAAGGCAGGGAAAAGTCAACGGTAAATCATTATTTTCTTACTGTAGGAGCAATTCAGATACAGTAAAACCTGTATTAAAAGGGCCCCTCTAGTAGAAGGTCCCTTCGAGAGAGGCTAGACAAAATAGAAGGGATCCCTGTAATTTAAGGACCTCTGTAATAGAAGGGCTCTCCGGAGGTAACTTGGAAAGAAAAAAGGGCTGGTCCTTCTAATACAGGTTTTACGGTAATTGTTCTTCGATTAAGAAAAAATATATATAAAACAGCCCATATAAGAGATTATGTAGGCACAACATTTTATTGTTGGTAGGAGGTAGGGTGGGAACATTGATCGTCTGTTACGTGTGACACACTGCATACGTATTTTTTGTAATTGATGAGAGGTCAGATTGGAGGTTGGTGGAAAAGAAAACGTTTATTGGACGACGATAAAAAAAACATAGAATAGCGACGATAGAATTTTAGGAGAATTAAATTAAATGGCAAAAAAAGTCACATAGCAAATGATCACCGAACTATTTACATGTGTCTTCAACACAATCGAACTGAATTTCGATATAAAATCACTCGCTCTTTTTCCTCTCGTGCCTTCCAGACTTTCCAAGATCACTGCCTGATGAGGATGATCTTCGCAATTCGGTTCGACGTATCGAGGCTTTAGAAGTTTTACTGGATTTCAGGGAATCTGAAAAGGGATTGTTCCTCAGTCTCACCACAAAATTATTCATCAAAAAATTACCGGTGTCGGTATTGGATTTTCGTTTAGCTTCCTCTTCCTCTTTTATAACTGGTAAGCTATCATTATACCAAGAAGGACTGGTTGGCACATGGGATGGCAGGTCAATGTGGTCGGTGACAGGTGTTGGATTGGAAAGTTCTTTTTCTTTCATTCCGTCGGTGTTATACTTCACCGGTCCTCCGAGGTTTCGATTTTTCAACATTTCCTCCAACTGAGTTTGCGGAAGAGAACTCCAGAGTCGGCCTGATTTTGGCGTTCCAGATGCTTGATCCAACTTGTTACTGAACGTTTCCACTTCATCGTCAAGACTGTTCTTTCTGAAAATCACCTGAAACATCTGAACATCTATGGAAGCTATACTCACTTCTTCGATCCAGTCTCAAAGTCTTGAGCTGACGAATGTCTCTTTCTGTAGCGATCCCCGATCCGGCTACCTGCCCGCATTCTTCGGAACATTTCGCTCAGTTTACGTCCTCCATTAGCGAAACTGTTTGAGAAGGCAAGGGATTCTCCGGAAGCGTAATTACTTCCATCTGGTAGATGCTTCAAACCAACAACTGGCACAACATCGGTGTCTTCCATATCCCCATCCCAGTGAGACATCCTTGATAGGGTACGACGACGAGGACGAACCATGAATGGTTCCTCTTCAGTTGGCCTGTAAAAAATATATACATTCGAACTATTTTTCTCAAAAACAAATACATTTCAGCACACGATCCAACTTGTGGGTTCAAAGGTCTCATTGCACTTTCAGCAGTGTAAAGAGGTTCAGGAATCGCATCCTCCCAGAATTGATCTTTTTCGAGAGTTGGGTATCGGTTATAGGCGGTGTCCACAACCATCAATCCCACCTGAACGCAGAAAATTAATTTTTGAAACAATAAATACGAATTAAACCTGCAAATTTCTGTCCAAAATCCAATTACATTCAAAATCATCATCGTCCTCGCCCAATGGATTCAGAAGCACCTCGGCCACTTTCATCCATCCGATGAAAAATATAAACTGGAGAACTGACATAATCGGGACATAAAGGTCAATGGTATGCTTATAATCCGGGACACGTGTCCTGTCGGGATGAAGATATTGTCGACCGAATAGAGCAACTAGAAAATAGGAACGAACTGCGAGATGCACGACTTGAGTGTAGACCAAAGGGACTGGAACCCAATCGAAGAGTGTCAATGAGAGAATGTTCACACGGAATTGGCGCATTTTCTGGAACATTCATTTCAAGACAAGCTGGTTTTGAATGGACCTGTACCTCCATCAAGTCCACATAAATTATATCACTGGCAATCATTCCTTCTTCTCTAGCCAAGCTGATCATGGAGAACAACCAGTGCATTGGTTGCCAGTATTTTGCATGTGGACTTGGAATCGATTCAAACTCAGCCATCTCTTTCTCAGTCATCAAACCAGCTGTCACCAAATGGTTGAATGTTGGGAATCGCTTACGGACACTGGCTGCCACATCGCGGTAGACCTGTGAAATTTTCCCGTTATTTCTCGTCTCCATGTTAAGTTTCTGGGCGAAGTGTATTTCAGCGTTTTCAGTGGTATAAAGACAAAATCTAGGAATTAAAAAAAAAATCTAGGAAAAAAAAAACAATTTTTGTTGTCTATCTTTAAAACGGAGCTACCGTAAAACCTGTAATATACTAATTTTTAACGTTGAGCTCAATCATCTCGGTTCCTGTCAAAGATATAAGAAAGTTGTCAACTGATAAAGCACATCTTACACTATTAGAAGCAATTTGGACTGTTGACAAATTTTTGATATCTTCCATAAGAATTGAGATAACTGAGCTCCAACTTGACATGGTTGGGTTTTATTACAGGTTTTACGATAACTTGTAAAATTGGTATTACCATTGCCTGCGTGAGAATCGAATATCGGATGCAATTTCTCCTCACACACTTTGCTCTCTCGGTTTCTCCTTTTATGTATTGAGTAATCCAGAGACATGGTCTGAAAATGAAAAGAAACGTTATCTAGGAAAATTTGAGTGCCGTTTTGAAAAGAAGGTCATATATAAACCATTCGATATATTTTTTCGTTTATCTGAAATTCGCTTTATCAATTTTTAGTACTTTCTAGAAACCAGGCCAATCTGTCTGATAATGTTTTTCAAAGATCTTTACGTGTCAATCCATCCGATATTGTCGAAAATCTGCCACCAGCGGGTGAATACTGCAGAAACATAAAAACCAAGCATAAAAGTAATCGGGATGAAATTGGAATAGGTGTCAAAGAATATACAGAGATCCTCGAATGTGCTGAAACAAAACTTTAGTTCTTATTAATCATAATTATTTTGCTAAGATTCCCTTACGCTCGCTGTCCCATGCTCAACAAATATCGGTAAATAGCACTAAGCACAGCATAAAGAGCCAACCATACCACTAGCTCCGCCCACACCGACTTCCAAATTGATCCCTAAATATAGAACTAGCCAAAAGGATTTGAGATAAAATCTACCTTCCATCGAAAAAGGAGCTTATATAAGCAGAAAAATGAAGAAGAAGCAACATCGAGTGAATAAGTTACGGTCATTCTGAAACTATAGAGGCATTGGAAAGTCTAAAAAAGAACTAATGATAAAGACAGGATAATAAAAATACGAAAAAAATAAAACAGGTTCTTTTTTGAAGAAGATGCATGTGGTACTAAAAACAATTTGTTCTTTGAAGATCAGTGGTTTTGGCGAATCGATTAGTTTACCCAAGTTCAGACAAAAACCTCATATTTATTGCAATGCAAAGTTATAGACTACACAAAATATTATGCTAATTCTAGATGATTGATTTTTAAATTTCCAAAATCCAGTACTGTAAAAGTTCATCGAAAGTTTTTTCAGTCTACATACACATGAAACTGAAATTGTTGATTCAGAGAGAAACAAAAAACAACAACAACAAGAAGCAAACATAATGACGTGTTTTATATCATGATTGATGAATAGAATGACACAACACCCAGAAGATGATACCCGCACATATAGTGATATATAACGCATTTTAGGTGGAAAACTGGTTTTAGATTAAATGACCGGGACTGTGAAAACAATGTATAAGTGATTAAAGAAATAGCGTACATAAGCACCGGAATTGTAAAAGATTAAACATTGGTTTTCTGATAAAAGTCATCCAATTTTTGAATTGGCAAAAATCGGACAATTGAAATTGTTTCAATAGTATCTTCCAAGAAGCGAACGTTTTTGAATTATATTCTTGCTTACCATTCTCTGAAATGTTTAGCTAAATCAAAAAAAAATATGTGAATCACATTTTCTTTTGCCTAAATTTGATAACAAACAAGTATAAATTACATGGAAATTCGAAGAATCAACCGTAAAAGTTTTAATCAAATTTGAGCTCAATTATCTCAATTCCTACGCAAGATATCAAAAATGTGCCAACTAATAAAACACTTCTGATATTACGATGAACAATTTATCAGTTGATAACTTTTTTTATATCTTTGTCAAGAACCGAGATAATTGACCTTACAGTTAAAAGTTAGAGGGCTCTTCTATTATAGGTTTTGTGGAATTGTCAATAGCAGAACAGATGGAATAAAACAAACCTGGGTTTCAACTTTCAGTGAAAAAGGTTTCTGACTGCCCCGACCTAACCTCTTCCGAAAATTTGATTATGCAAATTTAAAACTTCCGATGTGCCACTTGATGCCTAATCCCTCTCTCACCTCCACCGTCAACTGACACAAATCATTTTTGAGTGATATACACTTATTTGACAATGACAGTTGCTTATTCTCTAGATGTTGCCACATCTGGTCTGTTTACCCAAATCAAAGTATTACTTCGTTGGAAAGGATCAGTGTGGAAATCGATATGGTCAGAGTTGCTGATTTGGTTACTTCTTTATTCAGTTTTATCCGTGATTTATAGAGTTTTGCTGAATAAAGCGCAAAGAGAGTTAGTTGACTAAAGGAGTCCCTAGATAAAATTCTAGAATAAAATTTTCAGAGTGTTTGAACAACTTTGCACTTTCTTCGACACATTTTCAGTGTTTATTCCAGTCACTTTTATGCTGGGATTTTATGTTTCGATTGTTTATAATCGATGGACTAAAGTTTTCGATAATGTTGGTTGGATTGATACGTATGTCACTTTATCATTTTGAAGTTATCTAATATTTAACTTCAGATCAGCACTAACAATAGCTCAGTACATCCGGGGAACTTCAGAGCGAGCTCGACTTATTCGTAGAAACTGCGTGAGGTATATGATTGTAGCTCAAGCAATGGTATTTCGAGATGTGTCCCCTGCTATTCGCCGACGGTTTCCAACAATGCGACATTTGATAAGTGCTGGATTGTTGACTGAAGATGAAATGGCTGAGTTTGATGCAATAGTTAGTCCACAAAGCAAGTATTGGCAACCGATTCAGTGGTTGTTCTCTCTTGTAACAGTTGCAAAGGATGAGGGATTAATTGCTGACTATTATTTGTATGTGGATTTGATGGATGTGAGCTATACTGTTTTTCATAGGTAGCATACATTATTTGTTTCAGAAAATGCGCGACTTCCGAACCAAAATTTTGAATTTAGTGATTTTCGACATGGTTCCAATTCCTCTGGTGTACACACAAGTCGTTAATCTAGCAGTTCGGACATATTTCCTTTTGGCTCTGTTTGGTCGCCAGTTTCTTGAAAACAGCAACAACATTCCTGGAGCAAAATGGAAAATTGATATTTATTTCCCTATCATGACATCATTACAAATTGTTTTCATTATCGGATGGTTGAAAGTGTCAGAAGTGATGTTGAATCCACTCGGTGAAGATGATGAGGATTTTGAAACAAATTGGATTATTGAAAGAAATCTTCAGGTTTCTAAAAAGGAATTCTTTCTGAAATCGAAAATATATTACAGGTGGGATATGCAGTTGTAGATCAGGCGTACGGTAGATTCCCTATAATCAAAAGAGATCCATTCTGGGAAGAGGAAACACCACAGACAATGGATACTCCGACGTCTACAAGGAAACCACACACGCATATGCAAGGCAGTTGTATTAACATGTTTAGAACATCTTAGTTAAAATTTAAAAAAATTTCTTATAGGAATGAAGCAGATTTGGATAACGGGTTGATCTCATATGTGCGAAGACGTTCCAGATCGTTTGGAGATGATGATTCCAGTTCTGTTGTTACGGAAACGACAAGAGCTAACAGTAATGCTTCAATGTTACCCAAACATATGTGGGCCCAGCCGAGGAGCAAGATTTCCAATGCTATTGCGAAATTGTACAAGTCGGAGCCAGAACCAAGAAGAGCTAGCGTTTGTGAGTATTTAGGACCAAAGTGTTTAAAGATTATCAATTGAGTAGTCTTTGTAGTTAATATATAGGTCACGAAGACTACCGAGACAGTGTTTTGGCAATGATGACTTTTAAACTGTTTGCTCGAAAGGATTTTATAAAAAATGAAGCATTAAACATTTTTGAAATCTTTTCAAAACTAAGTTTCTAATTTCAGGTGTTGCTGCTCTCGATTTGAACCATCGTCGCCCTTCCGTAGATTTTAGAGAAATCGAAAACCCTGAAAAAGCAGATGACGTCATCTTGGATGTCCCAGCGCTCGTACAGGAACGAATTCGGATAGCCAAACAGCAGGCGGTGAAAATTGAGATGCCTGAAGACACCAATTCGCAACCTACGTCTCCGGAAGAAGACAAATCTGCTGTAGCGTCTAGTATTCAAATCCAATCAAATAACATTCCAATTTCAGATTTCCCCATCTGCCAACAACGTGAAGTGGTTTGTTGAAGAAATGCCCGTTATAGAAGAAGAAGATGAAAAGGCTCATAGGAAAACTCCAAGGAATTTGAGCGCAAGTTGGTTTTCTTCTACATATAATTGGATTATGATTCTATATGATTAGATAACCTGGTCACATCTGCTTTCTCAGTATTCAATAGCGAACTTCAGTTTCTAGATTTTGAACTTTTGATGTTCTAAAATTCGAAAAGATCACAACTCAAATTTTTCAGGCTCATTCGGCAACAAAAATCAAAGCGGAGGAGGTGGAGATTTCACATGAATGCACATAATAAACATTTATCACATTTTGAATGCGTTGGCACATGAATTAAGACACACACTATAAAGCTTTTTGTATTACTGGGATTTTTTGATGAGAACACAAGTACAGGAAGAAGTGATATGACTAACCGGATTTCGAAATTAAAACTATGATTAAAAAAAAGAGATCAATTCTGAGAAATCGAATCAAAGTTATCCTCAAAATGAGGTACTGTAGCTGTCTCCTCTGGTGTATTGTTGTTATCCTTGATACGTGGTGTTGGTTCCAACATGACTCCAGCGATCCGAGGTTCATACTCTACAGCTATGTCACGACGAGTAAATGAAGAGACACGGGAGCTGGAGTGTTCTCTTGGCGATGAAGCAACCACGTCGTTTCCCGGGTATAGGTCAAAAAATCTGCATTTCGATGGTCGAAGACAGTAGGAGCAGAGTGCCGAAAGAAGCATCATTTCCCAAGTGCACATGAACGATGCCCACCCTGAAATCGTTTGTAATTAGATGTGATTAAACTAGAAAACACTGTAGCTGTTTCAAATTCAATCTAATGACGTTTTGCCGGCAATCATGTTCTCTATAATTTCTTCTCTTGGTTTCGCAGGTGTTTTTACTTATTAGCATATGTAAACCTAATTTTCGCTTTTTCGCAGAAAAACTTATATTTAGATGTTTTTGTTCTGTTGGTTTTTGGTCACAGGTATACTGTAACGAAGAATTTTTTTTTGGAAACAGAGATTGTTCAAAAATTTTCGTAATCTGTGGCTTTGATGTTCTGCTGAGCATTTTATCAAACGGAAGTCGGCGCATCGAGAATTAGGTACCATATTTCCTAGAATAGAAACTTTGAACCTCATTATTTCGATTCCTGTGAAAGATATAAAACATTTGTTAACTGATAAAATGTTTCTTAGATTATGATAAACATTTTATCAGTTGACAACTTTTTCCATATATCTGACAGGAATCGAGCTTTTTGAGCTCAAAGTTGATGGTTTGCGTGGGTTACTTACACAATGCTTTTGCAGCGGCTGGAAGAAAACGATCCGAAGTGATCAGTCCAACGGCAGCGGCAAACTCGAACACAAACTTCTGAATTGTGTAAATGCACTGAGCAATGTCACATGTTCGGAACAAGAAGTCGAATCGGTAGGGAGCATGTTTCTCTCTCCCCAGCGGAACCATCACGTAGCAACCATAGAACGCGATACACATGGAGAGTAGAGCCAACAATTGAGAGAAAACGAACCAACTGAAAGTGTTGATTAGTGTTATATGAATCTATTCAAAATTGTCTATTCAAAATTATGGCTCTTTGTAAGAAATATCCCTTACATGCTCTCTCGTCTTCCCTCTTGTTCCATGGACACAACTACCGACACCAATTCCAGTAATGTACGAATTATTGGAGTTTGAAAAACCAGCCACTCAATCCGCCGTAGATTTTGGTCAGTACTCTCCACAGTTGGTAGAAATTTGCAGAAGCACAAAGGGGGTACTGTGAAGTTGACTCGAATGTTACGTTGTAGAAGATAGGCGCTCATTTCTTGACGTCCACCGAAGATGTTGAATAGAAGGGTGACCATTATGAAGAGAGTAAACATGAAATAGCTGGAAAATAGCACAACTTTCAGTAATACAAATATATGGAAAACTTACACTAGAGAAACTGCGTATAGGAAGACAGCGGCTCTTGGAATGAACATTCCCACTAGACTTGCAAATGTGGTTATCTTCAAATTAAGAAAAAATGAATTAGGTCAAGTGAGTACCAACTTACAGGAAACATGAATATCAATGCATACATATCATTTCGTATCCTTTCGTTTGAGACATATTTCAAAACGAAGTACAGATGAAAGAAGGAGAGGACGAAGGTGATACCAACGAATACACACGCGATGGTTAGACAGGAGACGTGCATTACAGACATATCTGAAAAAGTTTGGCTTTTTTTCAAGAAACTGTATATTCCATTGTCTTACTTGCCAACCATTCTGTAGCTGATGGAATCTGTGGCTCTACGAAAGAGTTATTGTGTGGGATGATCGTTTTCACGATTTCCATTCTGAAGAAAATACAAAGTTCTGGTCTGGAAATCCCTTAAAGATATCAAGTCGAGAAAACAGAAACCTTTAAAAAACAGATGATTACTTTTTCAGTGTCGTTTTCAGCGTCTTTTTCTCACGGTTCTGGGAAAATCGAAAAAAATTCTTGCGAAAAAAAACATAAGGAGAGCAAGAAGCAAGAAAAGAGTAAGAATAAGGGGTGGAGCCAAAACGAGAGGCACACATAAAAAAGGAGAAGCTGAATTCTTTCTCTCTTTTGAGGAAGGAGAGAGAGAGAGGTAACTATGGAAACTGACTACTAGCGAAAAAGAAGAAAGAAGGAAGAGAAAAGTTGGGAATAAGGAAAATATTTGAGGAAATCGAAGAGAAGAAGTACACATTTTTTGGGTCGTATATACTTTTTTACCTCGAGAATTTAAACAAAAAAAACTACCGAAAACACTCTAATAGAGCGTCATTCCTAACTTTTAACTTTGAGCCGTAATATCTCATTTCCTGTGGAAGGTATCAAAAAGTGGTCAGCTAACAACATGTTTATTATAATATCAGCAATATTTTATTAGTTGATCACTTTTTGATATCTTATACAGGAAACGAGATATGTCGGCTCAAAGTCATACTTGTAATCCGGGCCCTGCCGTATCTTTGTTCAGAATCAATATTTTTCTTAACTAAATTAGTTATGATAGAACTCTATCAGTACGACAAAATGATATTATTTGGAGAACTGTATCTTGTCTATGAACAAAGTCACAGGTCATAAAGTGGATTTACCCGGACGTACCGAGCCGGGTCGGGCCGGGTCTGTTTTTTTTCGTTCCTTTTCGTCTGTAACTTTGTTCATAGACAAGACCCAGTTCTCTAAATAATATCATTTCGTTGCACTCGTTGAGTTCTATCATATCTAATTTAGCTAATTATAATGAGATCAGGAGGAAGTGAGTTTTTGTTTTTTTCTAGAATCGAGTAATCCAAATTATAGTCAGAAAGAAAGGCAAAAAAACCCGACTTGGCGGAAACAAAAAAGCAGCTACCATTAAAATCGCGCAAAACAATGACACATGAAAACGAAACCAATTGTTGGCCTCCTCAAAATTTTGTTTAACTTTTTCGTTAATCGTCTACAATACACATAGTACAACAGTGATCTGTTTGTTTTAGCAGGAGCGCCATGTTATATCAAAAACGGAATTCCTCAAAAAGCTGAATTCATGAAAAAATTTCTAAAGTTCGAGGTGACGAATCTAAAGGTAACCTAATTATTTTGTTTCTCAGAAACTTGAATTTTTGATATCTCGTGACTGAAAACAAAATTCTAATAATGATAGGAATGACTGAACACATTGAAAAAGGGATTATAAGTCTTTATCATTTCATTTAACAAAAAGTGCACTTCTATTGTTCGGGGAGGAGCGATGACATGGATGGGGATGAGCAACTCACATTCCGGATAAATATGAATTTCCTGAAGAAGAATTAGAGACAAAAATATTATTGAGGTTTTTGTTGTTTTTGACGATTCATTTAAAAATGAACAATCGTTCTCATTCAAAAATGCACGTGGGAAAAATGAGACTTGGAAAGCACGGAGATTTCAATTATCAATATTTATTTGAATTTGAAAAAATAATACAATTTACTTTAAAATTCCGCTTTGAGCATTGTTTAGAGGGAGAGATACATGAAGGAGATTTGAATGACATTTTGGGGTATTTTGGATAAAAAAGCACACGTATAAACAGGGAATTGTGAAAGGACGGGGGATAGAATTATGATTTTTCAAACTGGACTAGAATATTTTTCAAATTTGTTAACAGGTCAAGATAACTATATTTTAAAGCAAGATTTGAACAAAAAGAGAACGAAATAAAATGATTTGAATAGGAATCTAAAATGCTTTCAGCATCTTTCTTGGTTTTTCAAACTCTACTTCAATTTCCAACTCGAATGGGACCTCTTCCATACTGCCAAGTACTCGACATGCCCTCGATGGTCTTTTTCTTGGTTTCATAACTTTTCGATTTTTTGTAGGGCGGCTGATTTTTAGAGATTGGGGAGCAGGGGGATCTGATTTTTGGGGTTTCGTAGGAGAGGGGATCCTTACAGTTTCCAATTTTGGTTCTGGTTTCTTTTGGGTTTTTTCCACTGTGGGTAAAAGTCGAGGTCGACCCCGTCTCTGTACGACAGTTTCCTGTTTATCATCGATTTTTATAATTGGAAGTATTTCTTTTTTGAACGGCAACTCATCGACTATGTCTATTATCTTGATCCATTCTTCTGGCTTCTTTTTGCCTTCAACTTTTTCTTCCTTCACGAAAACTTCAACCATTGGGATCTCCATTTCTAAAATAGGTGCATCTTCTTCTTCTGAATTCTCAAAATAGGCGGTCAGCACTGGCATCCCATCATATTCATCGAAACCTTCGGTAGTTTCTGATAGAGTTGGGACCAATTCCGGTTTCTCGGATCTGAAAAAAAAGGAATAATTAGTGTCAATTGCTAAACTTTTTGTGAAATTGTGGGGCACACTTTTATAGTTGAACAAGCAAGCTGGTGCACCTTCGGCGCGATTCGATTAAGTTTTTCCCTGGTTCGTGGCTCTCCACATTTTTAAAAACCCACAGTTCAAATTGTCCATAAAATGTGCAACATTTCAAGCATGATTTACGCCCGTTTTCGGAATTTTTCCTTTTTTTGAGATTTATCGGAAATTTTCAATGCTTGGTTTTTAAAGCCAATATATCTCAGTTCCTGTAAGAGATAATGAAAAGTTGTCAACTAGTAAATTTTTCATGAACATTTTTTCAGTTGAAATATTTTTGATATCTTCCATAGGAACCAAGATAAATTAGATCAAACTTGACAGTGTAGGGGCTCTTCTATTACAGGTTTTTTTCAGTGAAATTTGCGACGAACTATTTCAAAAAATATACGAATTACTAACCGAATATCTTCACTCTTTTCTGGAACATTATTGTTAATATCTGCTTTCTTCTCATCTTCTTCTTCTTTCCTTTTCTGAATCTTTGGTGCCCTCTTCTTCTTTATTCGTTTCCGATACCGATGCAAACTTGCACATTTTACACCTGGCCTCGGTATATTAGCTTGACTGTAGCTGGGCGCACACTTCTGGCACCTGAATATTTTGTTGTAAATAAGGGATACAATTTTGAATTAAACTTACTCATCATCAGAATATTCCACTTCGGACCAGTATTCGTCAGATTCCAATTCATCTTGGTCACTGCTGTATCCCTTTGGAAACACATATCTTGGTCCATCATCATAGTATACAATGGTTTTCTTGGTCACCCTGAAATATTTTCCTTGAATTTTCAACTATTAAGCAAAGGGGACTCACATAACAGGCTTATCCCAAACACAGCGACCATTCACGATTTTCCAGATTGTGTTTCGAACTTTCGGAGGCTCTGCGGCTACTGGGGAAACCTCTGGAAAAGAAGAAGAATACTGATTTGGTCCAAATCCTCAGTTAATACCTTTTTTTGGTTTATTCAGATGATGATTTCTCACATGGACATCTAAATCCTTACTGGTCGCTTTGCTCACAGAACATCCTTCTATGAGACATTTGAATGGTCTTGCATTTGTGATGTGTCTTGTCTTAAAGTGGGTCGTCATCCACTCCGTCTTAAATTTTTATCATTTTGATTATAAATTTAATTTTCCTTATGCGAACCTTTTTAGTTATATCTCCTCTAATTGTGCTCATTTCACATTGATCCCACTCACAAACCACTTCTTCCTCACCATCCTCATTTTTCACAACTTTTGGAATGTGAGCTTCTAGAACGTGCTCTAACAAGTCCTCAACTGTGTCGAATGGATCGGACGACTTCGGACAGCATTCCCATAGGCAATGGTTGTTCTAAAATGAAATATTGTAGTGTTGTTTTTTTTGTTTTTTGTACAGCTCTGAGTTAATTAGAGCTCAGAAACCCCACATTTGTTTTCTTGTTAGTTTTTGTGATTTTTCAGATTTTCTTATTATTTCAGATTTTCAGACTTTTAATTAAAAATGTTCAGTTGCCGACTCGTATGACATATATGTATAGAATGAGCTTAGATCAACCAGAAGCAAAAGAGTTTTCGAAAAAATTTGAAAATTTGTATACCACAAGAACTGAACTAAAAAAACAAGTATTAGTAATAAGGCCACAAAGCCCCTCATCTTTGAGCTCATTTTTCTCGTTTCCTGTGAGAGATATAAAAAAGTAACTAACTAACAAAATGTTTATCATAAAATAAAAAATGTTTTGTCAGTTAATCACTTTTTGATATCTTTCACAGAAATCGAGATATATTCTTTCAAAGTTGGCGGATTCGGTGGCCTTCTATTAGAGTGTTTACGGTAACTCAGCTGAAACTAATAGTAGGATTCTGAAACATTTAGGTTTGTCTGTATATTTTGTTGTGACAGAGACTGTGTAGGTGGAAATGAGGCACTCATCAAACAACTGATAACGGTTTTTGGGCAACTGGGGAAATGATGACCATGCGGTAAAAAAGATGGTCAAATTGAAACAAAAACGACAGGAATATAAAGTTAAAATAGTTTTTTTTTTAACATTTTCAAAAAAAAAGCTCACATTAGTCTTCCTGCATTGGTCTTCTGATACCATTCTCGCCATTGCAAGCTGAGAGGACAGATGGGCTCTCTGAAAAAAGAAGGCCTACATTAAAATCTCTTCTTAATTATGGAGAATGGAAATGACAAGATGGGAATGACGATCGTCGTACGTGTGGAAAAGCAAAGAGAGTAAGAGAGACATAGGATACAAAAGACTCGCTTTTCAACCAGCTGGCAGTCTCTCATACCAAACAAAGCACTGCGGGAAAGGGTGGTGGGTGGTGGGGGAGAGTGGGAATAGTGGACAGCTGATGAACAAATGACAGTCGAGATGGCAAGAACTGAGATGTTATCGGCTGGGAAGAAGGACATCCGGACGTTCAGAATCTAACATGTCAATTTAGATGAATGACCCCCATATGAGTGGCCTTGACTTCTTATCTCTGAACAGACACAGCCATCTGATCTAATTTGTAATTGATAAGAGTGATCGAATGGAAGGAATGGAATATATATTCAGACTGCTGAAGAGAAATGAGCAGCTGGAAAATGAGCAGGAAGTGTATGACTAATTGTGCACTTTCGTGCCACGAGGATAAAATATTCCAGACCGAGTGCCACTGCCCTTTCGGTGTACTATGTTGCAGAAGACCAAAAATTAACCTTGAAAGGAGAAAGACTGAAAAGGACATGTTTAACAGAATAGAAAAAGATTATCAAATCAAGGCTGGATCAAAAAGACTAAACAGTGATTATGATCGGATAGAACTAGGAATGTGAATATTTTAGAAAAATCTTTTGAAAATCATTTTTGCTAGCATAATGAATCATAGAAACTACACAGAAGAAAGGTTTCACCCAGTGGCAAAGTGGAATACTGCGCCATATGTGCGTTCACTGAACGCGAGGGTGTTCGGGTCAGCGCTCGTCCGCTACGCCACCACGAGGGAGACACCGTTGGATTTGAAGAGGGCTTCGAGTGTGGAGAAAAGTGGATGGATGAAAGGGGGTGGGAGGGAAAAACGGACATCCAACGGAAAGACGGAGAGACACATACGTCAAAAAAGCGGGTTAGAAGGACACCAGGTCAGTAATTATGTGGTAGAGGGATGGGCAACAATGGCGGGGAGAGGTGCCGCAGAATTGTGTACGATGTTTTATTTGCTTCAGGTACATAAACGTACAGTCAAGGCTCTGGTCTTTGTCTCTTTGATGAGTCATAGGAGTGGTCAGTGTGAATATTTTGGAGTTGGACCTTCTCAATTTGACATCACTGATCTACCTAATAAAGAGCCACCCAAACCGTCAACGTTATGCCAATTTATCTCGGCTTCTGTTGAAGTTATCAAAAAGTGTCTAACTGACAAAATATTCTTGAAATTATGGTAAACATTTCGTAAGTTGACCGCTTTTTGATAACGTTCACAGAAACCGAGATATGGCTCAAAGTGGACGGTTCGGGTGGCACTCTATTAGATTGCATACGATAATTCTTGCTATGGACACCACTTTCAAGGTTTAAAAAAAATAATTTTCTTTCTAAAACTTTATTTAAAAATATCTCAAGTAATTAAAGAATCGAACAACAAGGGTTCTTCTTTTTGGTCGTATTGCTTTTCTTGCTATCCTTCATTGGGGTTCTCTGTGTCTCCATCTTCTTATCAGGCGGCGTTTTGTCCACTCCAACTGGAATATGAACATTTGGATCCATATTTTCGTATACCGATTTTGGATAATTAGAAGTCTGGATAACAGATCTTTCTGGATTGGGTTTTGGATCATTTACAGATTTGGCTTGCGATTTTTTAGATTTGTCAGGTTTCTCTGGGACTTTTTCCGGAACTTTTTCAGGAATTCTTTCCGGAATTTTTTCAGGAACTTTTTCTGAAACTTTCTTCTCTGGCTTCTCTTCCGACGTTTTCGAGTTTTCCTGTGTCTTATCTGCCGTTTTCTCCTTCGTATTATCTTCAGAGTCACCTTTTGATGTCTTCAACCCTTCTGTTGTTCTTTCTGCTTTCCCAGTCTGTAGCTTCTTATTTTTCATAATCTTCAGCTCATCCTGTGAACAAAAATGCTCTAGATCAGCTATATATATATACGAAATAATCCCTACCTCGAACTTCTTCTTCCGCTTTTTAACCTCTTCATCATCCTCGTTATCCAGCAACAGATCAAGCTTCAAATCTCCACCAGAACCATCCATGCGCCAAACAATTTTAGATTTCACAAATCGCCATTTCCAAACATTTTCAGATTCGTGATCATCTTCAGTTTCCAATGTTTGATAGAAATAGATCCTTCTGCGGGTTTATCATAGTCATGGATTAAACCAGGACTGGATCTCTGAAATTTTCCATTTCCTTTCTTCAGATACTGTAAAACCGTAAAATAGAAGGGTCCCTTAAATTTTATCTTTGAGGTCAATTATCTCGGTAACTGTCAAAGATATTAAAAAGTTGTTAACTGTTAAATTGCTTATCAAACTATCAAACGTGTTTTATCAGTTGACATATTTTTGATTTCTTTTATAGGAGCCAAGATGATTGAGCTCCAATTTGACAGCGTTGGGGCCCTTCTATTACAGGTTATTCGAGTATTCATTATACTAACCTCTACGTCTCTGAACCCAATTTTGAACTTGATTTCCTCTCCAGCCTTTGAAAAACCAAACAACTGGGTGATAGTCTGTTTCCTTCCACGTGGATCCACAATCTCAAACAAATACGAATCTAGCATGATCAGATAGTATTGAGAGCTGTCCTTATTTGTTGGTTTCAGAGAAACATCCAAATGTCCAATTTTCGGTATTAGCAGTTTTCTGGACTGATTTTGAAAATGAATGGAAAATTGGCGGATGAGGGATCATCTGTGACATCTAAAATGATATTTTTGTATAACTATATTGAAAAAGTTTCAAAAAATTACTTTTAACAGAAAGCGGGAGTTCCTCTTCTTCCACTGAAGTGTTCATAATTAATCGCTATTAGGTGTGAACCTTTGGGTAGTTGTAAATAACTGTGATTTCACAAAAATGTTTTGAAAATTGTTTTGATGACAAATATGAAACCCACATGCTCACGGGCCGTGAGTCACGGCCTAAAAAAGAAAACACAACACACCGTAAACACTCTAATAGAACGCCACCAGAATCGTCAAATTTGAGCCCATGTGTCTCATTTTCTGTCAAAAAGTGGTTGACTAATAAAATGTTGCTGATATCATGATAAACATTTTATTAGTCAACAACTTTTTGACATCTTTCAAAATAAGTGAGATATATAGGCTGAAAGTGGACGGTCCGGGTGGCGTTCTATTAGAGTGTTTACGAAAAAGTATTCAAATTTATTCAGGGAAATAGACATAAAAATACGAGATCAGCAAATCGTGCAGCATGGATTCGACTTCTTCTTTTTTGCAACTGGCTTCGTCTTGGTTTCACTGGGCTTCTGCTCAACAGGCGGAGCCTTGAACTCCGCTGGAAGTTTGACGTCCAAGTTTTGATACTGAGATTCGGCCTTTGGCTCGGGTTTCCCATCTTTGGTATCTTTGGAATCAGGATTGTTAGCTGTGGACTTGGCCACTTCTACCTTTTTCGAAATCTTTGCATCTCCTGCTTCCTCCTTTTTCTCTTCCTTCTTCTCTTCCTTCTTCTCTTCCTTATCCTTCTCTGACTTTTCCTTTTCATCCTCCCCGCCAGCAACTAGACGCGATTTCATTTCCTGGCTCTTTTCCGATTCTAAACAGTTCTGAATTAAAACCAAATACTTCAGGAAATTTTCAAGTTTACCCGATTGTTTTAATCGTGTTTCTCCAGTCTCAATTTCAATTGACGTTTTGGAAATTTTGGTTTTCGCCAAGATGGGAATGTTCTGAGAACACTTGAGTAAAATAATTAATCCAGGTTTTTTCGATTTTGGTTTCTTAACCGTGATTTTTACTGACAGTGCCATTAGTTTAGGTTATCACGTGATCGCTACAGTAATCAGGAGACTTTTCAAGAAATACTTTTTCTGCTTACTTGGTTCACTAATTTTTCGAAGTTGGTGCCAAAATGCGAGTGTCCCAAAAATGTGAAAATTTGACTAACTTTAGCGAATTTCAGTTTTTTAATTGGAATTTTTTCCAATTTTTTTGTTTCTTTTCCAGATTATAGGCTGTTAGATTAAAACACCTTATTTCCCTTTCACTGGGACATCCGTAAAATTGCGCCATATCAAAAAAATTTGGGTGGACCCTCCCCCCAAATACCTTAGCGCCGAAACCTGTAATAGGAGGACCCCTAAGTTTTTACTTTGAACAGTTTTTTCGCGGTTCCTGTCAAAAATATTGGAAAGTTGTTCACTGAAAAAATTTTAATCATAAAATCGCAAACATTTTGTCAGTTGACACAATTTTAATAATATTATCTTGCATATTATCTTGATATTATCTTGCATAGGAGCCGAGATATGAGGGTTCGAATTAGACAGATATATATGCTAATTAACAGTTAGATGCCTAGATGCCTAGATGGTGACCGTAAAACCTGTATTAGAAGGGCCGGTCCTTCTATTTTTCCATGGCACCTCCGGAGGGTCCTTCCATTGAAGGGGCATGAAAATCTGTCTATTTCACTGAAATTGAGCAAGTTTTTTATTAAAAAAAAATAGTGTTTCAAGAAATTTCTTCTAAATTGTGGAATTCCCGGAATATCTTACACTGAAAACGTATTGAAATTCCAATACATATTTTTAGATGGTCCTTCTTCACAAGGGGCTCTTCTAATACAGGCTTTACGGTAAGTTTCTGATTTTGTAGGTTCACTGAAAGTTGTTCCGGCTGCGTTTAGAGTCTACGTGAAATTTAAAAAGTGACTAAACTAACAAGCGCTGGGATTTATTCCTACCTGTACTCACAACGAATTATCTGATAAAAATGGCCAAATCTGATCACTTGTTAGTTCATAGTGAGTGGAGTTTTCCAGCTTTTATCAAAAAACGTATTGAAATTTTTCTAGGGATGAGTAATATCTGTGGGGAGTTCAATCAGGATCAATACGCCACATTCGACTACAAAGTGACACCGGAAGTGTTGAGAATTCCATCTGAAGGATCACTTGAAATCACGTTGACTCCGTTGGTGAAGTTTGGGGATGGAGAGAAACTAGTGATTATTCATTTGATGTCTTATATATTCGAAATACTCGATGCGACTGGAAAAGAGGGATTACAAACACAGTTTTATGGGATTTTCTCCAAAAATGAAATTATCCAATTTCGTATTGCAGTTAGAAAGGAAAAGGTTGGTTACAGTAGAAACTAAATTGAATTTATTTACTAAAATGGTTATTGAATTACAGAAAGATCCAGTCAACGAGTATGAGATGTACTGCACAATGCCAGAAGGACTTCTAACCGTCAAACATGGAGTCATTAGAAACCGAACGGACACTATCGAAATGTTGAAAAGTGCAGAGTTCAAACTGGGAACCCAAGGAATGATCGGGAACCGCGTGGACTGGGCAAAACAAGCAGGATGCTGGGAGTCGGAATTGAGCTTCACAGAGAGAAATTGGCATATCCTTGACCTAGAGCGTCAATTTTATCTAGAAGGCAAAAAGGGACGCAATATGCTATTCGGTTCGGTTCAAAAAACTGAACAGGTTATCAAAAGATGGGAGGAAATGAAAGAATGGGAAGCCAGGGAAAAGGCAATGAAACCCAATTCAGAAAGGCTTTTGTACTCCAAAACTCTCCAAGTTCAACCACAAGTCCAAAGTCCGAGATCCACTAAAAGCTCTTATGTTCAAGACGCCAAAGAAGCTTCCAGTAAACGGTCCCCCACGAAATCCGACAAATCCATGGCATTCAAAAGTTCAACAACGTTAGACGAATCAACGAAAAGTGGAAAGTTTTCTCAGTCAGCCAAGTCTTCCGGAGTCTCCACGAAATCTGGAAAATCTGCGAAATCTGAGAAAACGGGAGACAAGGATCCAGAAGATGTGGAGGAGAAGGAGAAGAATAAGAAAAAGCGAAATCCGTGTTGTGTGATTATGTGAACTTTTTTGATGTGTAAAAAATGAAGAGGGATTTTTGGAGTTTTTTTTTCGATCTGGAAACTTTACATTGGTCCAATCTAAACTGGTTCTTAAAAAAACATAAAATAAGGTCAACTTGTGAAAATTGTAAAAATTTATAGATTAGTGGAAAACTGCTCTTTTTCAGAAAACCAAATAACTTTAGGTAAAACAAGAAATGTTTTTGTCACTTCAAAACCAGTCATTTCGAAACCGGTAATTTCGAAACCGTGATAATGCAGGCGAATGGATGAATTTCAGGCTACAAAACAACTTAAGGGTTTTCAAATATGCATTTTCTGATGGAACACATTCTGAAATCCAAAAAAATTCACCAATTTTCCTTTTTTTGAAAATTAAAATCTAGATTTTTTGGATTTCAGAATGTGTTCTATCAGAAAAAGCATACTTGAAAACCCCAAAATCGTTTTTGCAGTTTGAAATTCATCTATTCGCCTGCATTACCACAATTTTGAAACCGGGTTCGAAGTGACGCGGAGCCATAAAAAGTAGTTGAATTATGACAACCTTTATTTGTACAAGAAGAGGTAGATCAAAATGAATTTTGACCATTAATTTGTTTCTTGAAAATTTCTTGAAAAAATGCAATAGACTTTGCCCCTTTTGTAACTTCCCGGTCCCTAAATTTAAATCCACCCAAACCGTCAACTTTGAGCTCAATCATCACGATTCCTGTGAAAGATACCAAAAATTTACCAACCAAGAAATTATTTATCGTAGTATCACCAATATTTTATCAGTTGATACATTTTTTTTTTGATATCTTTTAAAGGAACCGAGATAATTATGGTTGAAGTTGACGGTTTGGGTGGGCTTCTATTAGAGGAAATACGGTATACATTTTCCTTTAGCACCCGTTTCTAGTGAACTCTCATTCCAGGGTACCGAGCTCGAATTAGTAATCATGTCATAGC